CATCAGGGAGTGGAACTACCTGAGAAAGATTAGGAGGTGTGGTCTTGTTGGGGTAGGTGCAACCTTGTTGGAGGAAGTATGTCACTGGGGGTGGGCTTTGAGGTTTCAAAGGCCCAAGCCAGGCTCAGTGACTCTCTCTTCCTGCTGCCTGTGGATCTGGATGTAGTACTCTAGTACTCTCAGCTGCTTCTCCAGCACCATGTCTGCCTGCATACCACCATGCTCCCCATCATAATGATAAAGGACTAAACCTCTGAAACTGTAAGCAAGCCCCAATCAAATGCTTTCTTTTGTAAGAGTTGCTGTGGATATGGTGTCTATTCACAGCAATAGAACACTGACTAACAGACACAACTTAAGCTATGTCTTATTGAAATTTCTGAAAATTATGGACATTCTTTCAATTTGTTTCCATAAAAATGTATTTGTTAGAATATATACTTTGCATAAGAATGTTCAAAAGTAGCTGAGTGGACACCTTTAATCCCATCACTCAGGATGCAGAGGCAGGTGGATCTCTGTGAGTTTCAGGACAGCCTGGTCTACAGAGTGCGTTTCAAGACAGTCAGAACTCTACATAGAGAAACCCTGTCTCAAAAAAAAAAAAAAAGAGTATGTTTTGGACTGTAGAGATGGCTCAGTGGTGAAGAGCACTAGCTGTTCTTCCAGAGGACCTGGGTTCAATTCCCAGCACCCACATGCAGCTCTCAATTCTCTGTAAGCCCAGTGTCAGGGGATCTGATACCCCAACACAGACATAAATGTAGGTGAAATAGCAATGCACATGAAATAAAAATAAATAAATTAAAAAAAAAGAATATTCGAAAGCCTGTTATTACATAATAATGACAAGACACAAGGGATATGATGATATATGTGATTTTTCCAATATAGTGAGACTTCTCACATTTATGTTAACCTATTTTAATATCTTTGATTTGTTGAATGTTGTCTTTAGTCTAAATTATATTATAGTCTCTTTTATATTCTAGCAATCCTAAAAGTTGTATTAATATGTATTAATAGCTGGGTGGTGGTGGTGCACACCTTTAATCCCAGCACTGGGGAGGGAGGCAGAGGCAGGTGGATCTCTGTGAGTTTGAGGCCAGCCTGGTCTACAGAGCGAGTTCCAGGATAGGCTCCAAAGCTACACAGAGAAATCCTGTCTTGAAAAAAGCAAAAACAAAAAGTTGTATTAATGCCTCTATATTTTAAATTTTTATTTATTGTTAGTGGTGTGTGTATGTGTGTGTGCGCATGCATGTGTGTGCATTTGCACTGGTGTGCATGTCTTACAGTGTGCCTGTGGTCAGAGCAGCTCTCAATAGGCTTTCCTTCCATGGTGAGTTTTGATACTCGATTTCAGAGCATCAGATATACATGGCAAGCACTTTTGCCCACCGAGTCATGTTACTGGTCCCATGTCTACATTATATGAGAATCACCCAGATCTGGCTTCTTCCATGTCCTTGCTTATTCCATGATGTATTTCTCAGTATTGTACCTATTACAATTTAATTGTGCTTCAGTATCTCAGTTCACAACACCTGGGTTGAGAGGAACGGATTCTAGTTTTCCAAACGCACCCATAATCATCTTTTCTTTTTAATCTTACTAAGCCAATAGCTTTTCTCCATCAGAGCAAGTTTCTAGAAAATGTAGTAATAATTGCAGGGACGGGCTGTAGCGTAACTTCCGGTCAGCCTTAGTGCTGAACAGTCAACACACACAACAAGCAAGCCTGTGGGAAATAATAAAAAAAAAAATTAAATCTGGGCAAGGTGGCACACGCCTTGAATCCCAGGACTCAAGAGGCAGAGTCTAGCCAGGCGGTGGTGGCACACACCTTTAATCCCAGCACTCGGGAGGCAGAGGCAGGCAGATCTCTGTGAGTTTGAGGCCAACCTGCTCTCCAAAGCAAGTTCCAGTGAAGGCGCAAAGCTACACAGAGAAACCCTGTCTCAAAAAACCAAAAAAAAAAAAAAAAAAAAAAAAAAAAGAGGCAGAGGCAATGCATTTCTGTGAGTTCCAGGACAGCTTACATTTAAATAAACAAACAAGCAAGCAAACAAACAAACCAAAAATCAAAACCAAAATCCTGTCTCAAAAAACAAAACAAAAAAGAAAGGAAGAAAGAAACTAAACTGGAAGATGGTCTACAATCTCTTTAAAACTTTTCTATCCTAACAGGGAGACTGTTGGGGGTGTGGGAAGGGGGAAGGGGTGAAGAGAAACTGGTAAAAGTAGAGGTGAGTGTGATCCAAGTACATTATGTTTGTGAGTGGAACTGTTACAATGAAATCCTCTACTTCCTCTAAGTACTATGTGCTGATAAAAACATTTGTGTGGGTTGGGGATGTAGTTCAGTTGGTAGAGTGTTTTCCCAGCATGCACAAAACTCTGAAATTGATTCCCAGTACTGCCTAAACCAGGCATGGAGGCAAGTTCCTGTAATCCCAGCATTTGGAAGGTGGAGGCAGGAGGGTCCCAGATCACTTCCTATCACAAGGCTTCCTCTAAGAATTACAATGTCCAGTCCCATGCACTATACAAGACTTCCCTTTGAGTTAAATCATTTTCCTTCTTCTCCTAAGGGCAAGCTTCAAACAGAGCAATGGTGGCCTTTGCCTCATCTGCCAGCCTCCCTCTCTTTCCATTCAGCTAGACTCCTGGGCTCCTGGGGTTAGAGGGTACAGAAAGTTCTTCCTTGGCTGCTGCCATCCTCAAGGGCTCTGCACTCCTCAGCACGGCAGTTGTGGAAAGTTGACTCTCCCATGGGACTGGGTTCTTCAGAAGTTCCCTGGATGTTGCTCCTGCTGCAACTCTGCCAGAGAAACCAGTTCTCCAACGGTCCCTTCACATGTTGCATTTGGATCTGCCTCATTACCTCCCTTGGCATCTGATAGTTATCGTGTCTCAGAAATTCAGCCAGAGTTTCCATGTCAGAGCCTAAAGCATTTCCCACTGCAGCCATCCTGTGTATCACACACACGCTCACTTTAGTGGATGTGAGGACAGAACGGTACTTTCCTCCAGCAATTTAAGCAATAATTACCTCAGGATTGGTTCCTGGACACGCAAGTGTCTTCTAGAAAACATGTGATAGTAGTATTTGCATATAACTTCTGCAGATTGTAAGCTTCAAGGCCCTCCTGGATTACATAGAACACAATAGCAATGTACGTAAATAGTTGCTGGTACCGTATTGTTTCGGGAATAATTGTGAGGCAAAAGTCTGTTCATATTCCACAGAGATTTAAATATATTTTTCAAGTATGTTCCATCTGGTTTGTTAAAAATACACATATGACATGATACTTACAGATACAGATGGCCAATTATCTATGATAAACGTTGCCTGACTTTTGACACAGTGCTGAAGACATTGGTATTATTACTAGTTATTACTGCTCATTTTAAAGTTTTATCTTTATTTCCATTTTAAAATTAATTATAATACCTGTTCCATAGGCATTCACACTTTCTTTTCCTATCATCCCATATTTTAGTGGTTTTCCAATAAACGAGTAGTTTCAATTCTGTCTGCCCCATCTGTAAAATTGAAATCACTTCTGTCTTTTCCCATTGATGGAAGTTTTTCATCTGAGTTTACCTTGGTTTACATTTTTCTATATAAAAATGGAGAAGAGAGCATAAACATAACTTTCCAATCTGTAGAAGAATTAATTTCAAACAGAGGTGCCATTTTTGGTCAATACCATTCATGCATTTGACGAACTTATTGGAGAATCATTGGAGCCATATATTTTAAAATAGTAGTAATATTACTTTTTAACCTTCTTAATCCCTTTCTCTGGCTCTCCTATCCCACCTTCAGGATCCTAGCAGAGATTGCCATGGCAACTGCATCCCTGCGATCATGGCTAGAACAAGGAAGGGAGTGACCTAAGATACATGTGAGGTGTTCATTTCCAACGCTGTAGACACGCCTGTGCTTGTTTGCATAGTTTTGTTGTTGTTTTGTTTTTGAGACAGGCTCTCACCACATAACTCTGGCTGTCCTGGAACTCACTGTGTAGACTAGGCTGGCTTCCAAACTCACAGAGCTATGCCTGCCTCTGCCTCCTGGATCTGGAATTAAAGGGGTATGCCACCACACCCGGCCCCAGACAAAGCTTCTCACCCTAGGAACCTCACTCATCTTATTCCAGACCTGTTTCTGCACATTGGGCCTGCATTCCTTCATTCACTTGTTCAATCAACAATTCTCTCAAATACTTTCTGTGGGCCAAACATTTATTCATGTTGCTAGACATCCAGACAAGGAGCAGGCAGATAAAAGGTGCTGGTCTCGGTATTGGGTATCCATTCAGTACTGTAGAGAAAGAGAAAGCCGAGGAGGGTAAGGAAGTGCCAGAGTAGAATTTGGGGAAATCCTCACTGACAGAGCGACATTTGGACAAAGAATTAAAGGAAGTAGCATGGCTCTGAAGACTTGATGAAGGATTGGTAATTTTATTTGTCACTTGTTTATAATAAAGAGACTTCACATACATTTCCGACTTCCTGCAACAAATCCAAGGATCAGGCAAAATGAAGCCATATTCTATGTGACAGCAATTCTATGGAGCAGAGGGAGCCTGCGTACTTTAAATCAAGTCAGAGCCTTAATATTGGGCAAAGAGGCTCCAGTTTTCCAAGTCTTCATTGCCTGTCTCACTCAATTACATCACCTGTCTGTCTATCCCTTGTAGACGTGAAAGTTCGAATCCTTGACTGGAACCTGGAGAAAAGACAGATCTCAAATGCCGCCACCCTCCTTTCATGCACGGCCTAGGCCTGACGTCCTTGCGGTGCAACATCTGCTCACCCACACTGCGGTGGAACTGCTGCCCCTGTGAGCCCCAGCCTGGATCCTGGACTCCAGGGGAATGGTGTTTGCTTAGCTGCTGGAAGCCTGGAGTGACAGGTACCAATGGGCTAGTCTCTTGCACCATGATTGATGTTATCAGGACTGAGTTGAGAACTTGCCATCCTAGTCTACACCCATTATAACTTTCAAACACACCAACAAAACTATGTTAATTAATAAATAGATCCTGGGCTAAACCAGGCATATTTTCTCTCTCAGAAGAATCTCAACACAGCAAGCTATTGCAGGCATCTGAACTCCACCTACCTGCTGGCACACAAAAAGGACAGGAATTTTCCACTTGAGTGAGAAGCTGCAGCACTCACAGAGACTCCCCTGAGGAAGATCTGTGTGTGGTCGAGAACACCAGCAAAGAGCCCTCTGTCAGGTGTGTAGACACCATCCCCGACACCAGGAGTTTGTCAACTGTGGGTTGGCATAGCAACGACCTCATGTTTTCTACACCAGGTAGATTTTTGTTTTTGTAGCTATTTGTCTAAGCCTTAAGAATCTTTTAAACTGAAGCGGGATAGATGAGGAGTTAAGATTGCTCAACCCCACTGCATTTTATAACTAGTTTGTTATAAAATAAAAATAGGTGAGAGCGTGGTGGCTTCGGAGCAGACCTGACATGCATGTGTGTGGGACAAACTATAATGCTCTGAGTGGGTTTCAGTCCATTGCATTTTGTGCCAAATTAGAAAAATCTTAAACTGGGGGTGGGGGAGGGGGAGGAGGGGGAGGGAGGAGGGGGAGGGAGTCTACAGAGCACAAGGAGTCTCCACTGTATTTCACAATCAGTTAAAAGAAAAACAAGAGGAGGAGAAGGAATTTTCAACCCCAACTCCAAGCGGGCATCGGAAAACTGAACTTTCACACCAGTAAAACTGAAAGCCACAGGAGAAAAGTTAAAGGCATTTTAAAAAGAAGTGAGTAAATAACTCCTCAACCATTCATGCCAGTTGACGGCTAAATTCATGTAAGTGGGCGAAAAACTTAGTGAGGGGGTCCCAAAGACTGTGAAATGGAAGAAACATCTCTTTTGTGTCCACACCCCCTCTCTTCTCCTTTTCCCCTCCCTCCAGTGGGGTGGGTTCTACTCTTTACCACACAACACGGAGTTCCCAGTGATGGCATTCTCTTTCACACACACCTAAATATGGACCACATAGAGGATCAAGCAAGCTTTTTTTCTTTTTTTTTTTTTTTTTAAAGAATTCTGGCTGGGCGGTGGTGCATGACTTTAATCCCAGCACTTGGGAGGCAGAGGCAGGCAGATCTCTGTGAGTTTGAGGACAGCCTCGTCTAAAGAGTAAGTTCCAGAACATGCTCCAAAGCTACACAGAGAAACCCTGTCTTGAAAAAAAAAAACAAAAAACAAAAAAAAAGAAGAAGAAGAATTCTGGTTCAAAGATTGATTCTGACTTTAAGACTGGAAGAAAGGGGTAAAGAGAAGAATGACCTTTCACACGGTTCTTAAGACGTATTTCTCTTCTGATGGGGAGTTTTCAAGGGGTGCCAGCTGCTTTTCTAAGGAATAGTTTATGCAGTTTTGGTTTGGAAATGAAGCATTCACCATCAGCATCTGGCAGGCACAGTTCTTGGTTCTTTTAGCTTTAATACTTAATATTCCCTGCATCCCTAGAGGCTTTTTGAAATTGTGTGTGTGTGTGTGTGTGTGTGTGTGTGTGTGTGTGTGTGTGTGTGTGTGTGTGTAGAGAGAGAGAGAAAGAGAGAGAGGGGAGAGAGAGAGAGAGAGAGAGAGAGAGAGAGATCCTATACACAATCATACTTCAATTATGTAGTAGATCTAGATTCAGCAAAAGGTAAAACAAAATAAACCTTACTTTTATTTTCTGGAAAAACAAGCCTTAAGGTTCTTTTTACTCTCTTTCACCCCTTTTGTGTGACTGTACAACAGTGGCTTGGGATGTAGTAGCCGAGTTGGTAGAGTTCTTGTCCATCATATAGGAATCCCCGTGTTTGATAACCAGTACCACATAAACTGGGTGTGGTGGTACACACCTATAATCCCAGCTCCTAGATAGAGGCTGGAGGATCAGAATGTCACGATCAGGACTTAGGAGACATAAAGTCCATCAACAAATCAAGCAAATAAACAGCAACAACTGTAACAAGCCCTAGACCTCAGTAGGCCCTGAGATTTTAGCACAACTGACTCCATGATGGAAGTACCATTCAGTCAAACTCAGTCCATAGACAGCACCACCTGCCAAAATGAAACAAAGTCCTAATCCATCAAAGTTCATATAGTTCTGGGAAAGTCTCTAAATGTCCTAACCTTGCTTTTTGTCTTCTGCAGTTTCACTACTGGCTAACTGTTCTTGTTAGCTGAAGTATGTCATCCCAGGACATGGTTTTTGTGCTTAAAAGCTCACCCTGAGAAAGCCTTTGTGCTACCCTGGGATCCTGAACACCCAGTGTAGCTGCCAACCAGCTAATAAAGACTTTCTATTGGCTTAAACCCATGTCCGAGTAGTCTTCTCTGGTGTATACCCCCACAACACAACAAAAGGCAGCTGTGAAATTAATTTGCAGATAACTACCAGCCCATTCACTTATGAAATGCATATTTACAGAAAAACATCATTTTAGTAACAATTTTCATTGTAAGGAAGGCACATGTGACTGAGGTTTAAAAAAAATGGTTGGTGAGACAACTCAGTGAGAAAAGATACTTGCAGCCAAACCTGATGACCTGAGTTCAATTCCTGGGCCCAGGTGATGGAAAGAGAGAACCAACTCTTGCGAGATATCCTCCAACCTCCACATGTGCTCTTTCCTACACATTCACATGCTTGACATTAGTCTCTAAAAAAGTCAAATAATTTCTTTTTAAGGGCCATTTTCTAGCCTCCATGACAGGAAGACCCAGACCCAGACAAGAAATAAAAAGGTAAGGTACCCAAGTTTCAGAGGAAATCTCCAGAAAACAAAACAACACAAAAACATGAATGTTCCTCTCATTTATTAACCCAGACTATTTATTCCCCTTCATTTCTCTTACTCTATATCTGTGACGTCCCATACCAGACAGGTTGAAAAGTTGCTTTGTGCACCTAGACTCCCACTTTTCCGCTCACTGCTCAGGGTACAAGGCTCAGTTTTGTCTTTCATTTTGCAACACCAAGTGTGTGTCTCATGAGGGCCTTCTTTCAGGAACCAATAGATGACAGGTAAAACTCCCATACCTTGCTCTATGCATCTTGTTTATCTGACTGTTCCTGATCTACATCATTCTTAATAAACTGGCAATCAAGGAAGCCAACTGTTTTCCCAAGTCCTGTCAATCACTCCAGCAAATGATCAGCTCAAGGAGCGGGTTGAGGGAATCATTGATTTGCATCCCATTGGTCAAAAGCAGCAAGTCCTGTGACTATTGTCCAAAGTGGAGCAATTTTGTTGGATGGAGGCCTCAAGCCGTGGAGTCTGGTACTCTCAGCAGAAAGACAGCATCGTGATTGGTTGAGAATATAGGACATCAAGTTGATGTCTGTAGGAAACTAGGAAATTGCTTTATATGGGAAAAGACCCCATATTGGCCATAGATGCAGTCTGTGTTAAATGTCAGTATAAAGAAAAATAGTTTTCTACACAAATTCAAACCAACATTTACTGATGCCTCAGACACCAGCATTGCTTGTCCTTGTCACCTGAACACATGTCACCTGTCACATTAATCCACAGGGTCGTGCTTCTGAGGCTGCCATCATAGTCTGTGATTTGGAAAGCTGGCTGTTGGAGCTACAACCCTCCCTGTCACTTAGGCTTGCGCCCAGAAGATCTGGAAACAGTCCGGCCACATTCTGAACTACCAAGACTGTTGCAGCTGCCATCACAAGACTAAGCGGCATCGTGGCTCAACTCTGTGAAGCCTGAGGATGTGTACCTTTGACGGTCTACGACCAGTGCAGAGTTGTACTGCCACCCTTGGGAGCTGTACCACTGCTGCCGTCCACACTACTGAGGCATTCACATATAATTGTGGCAGCACTCTAAGCTAAAAGTTACACAGAAACTACACTTTGAGCTGACCTCTAATCATAGCCTACCTACCCAACTGACACCTTATTTAACAACAATGGGAGTCTCCCCTTACAGAAAGCTGCTTCGTTAAACCGGAAGAGGTAACTGTTCACTAGATGTTTACACATCATGGTAGGAACAGAAGATCCATGAATGTAGGCGGAAGGTTCTCTCCCGTCTGCCTGTTCCCAAATACCCAGTGGCCGCTTCTTAAATAATTGACTTGGAGACTTAATATTACTTATAAATGCTTGGCCGGTTTATTACTAACTAGCTCTTACACTTAATCCATAATTCTTACCTATGTTTAGCTGTATGGCTTGGTACCTTACCACAGTGCAGCATGCTCATCCTCTGTGTCTGGCTGGCGACTCCTGACTCCACCCTTCCTCTTCCCAAAATTCTCCTAGTCTGGTCACCCCCGTACTTCCTGCTTGGCTACTGGCCAATCAGCATTTTATTAAAGCAATTCAAGTGACAAATCTTTACAGTGTACAAGAGCATTATCCCACAGCACATGAAGATAAAATGATGCCTTCAAACAAAAAGGATAACTCTCCTATAAAGAGAGCCCAATTTGAAGAAAAACTTAAAATGATCTTTAAAAATTAATAACAGCTATTCTCAATGAAATGCAAGAAATAATAGATAGAGATAATACACAGAATTGAGAAAAAATTCAGGATATGTGTGAGAAATTCATATCACCAAAAGGATAAGAAATGAATATATACACATATATATATATATAGGTATAATGAACCAATAAGAAATCATAGAAACAACATCTTAATCAATTAAATAAAACATGCAGTGGAGAGTTTCCATGACAGACTAGAACAAACAGAAGAAAAAATGTATGAGCTTGAGGACAGATCATTTGAATTTAACCAACTAGATGAAACATTTAAAGTTTAAAAACTGAAAGATAAAAATAAAAATTTAAAAAGCTATAAGCCATAACTTTTTAAAAACTGGAAATGAAAGAATACAAAATTAAAGAAAATGGGGGGAAAGAGGTCTGGAGGACAGGAGAGAAACAAAAAGAAAGAAAATATGAAAAAGAATGAAGAAATCCTGTTAGATTTATGGAATGCTGTTAAAAGAACAAATACTTGCACTATGGGAATTACATAAAGTAAAAAGGAGAGAAAAGGCTCTGAAAGCCTATTTCACATAACATTTTGACAATAACATGAATCTTCCCAATATCCAAAGACTTGGGTACCCTGATATAAGAAATGAGAAGGACAGAAATCCAGTTCTTTTTTATCTTTTTTTCATTCATTTTACCTATTTTTTATTTACTAAAGAAAGGATCTCCACCAATTGTCAAATGTCAAAAGCTCAAGACAAATAATTCTAAAAACAAGAACCTAAGTACCATGTGAGGCCATACCTGATAGATGTGCAGCAAAGTGCTCAGCAAAGTCTTTACAAATCACAAGAGAAGGAGATGATATATTAAAGGTGCTGAAAGAGAGAAATGATTTCCTCCATCAAAAAATACTATACCTTGCAAAATCATCCCTCAAAGTGATGGGAAAGTAGGAACTAGTGAGATGCTCAGCAGTTAAAGACGCTTGCTGTGTGAACCTGGCCACCCGAGTCTGATCCTTGGGACCCCTGTAACGTGGAAAGAGAGAACTGACTCCACACAGTTTTCTTTTAGTCTCTATGAGCGCTGAGGCACACATGCCTATACACAGCCACCACACACAAAATAATAATAAATGAAATTTTAAAACAATAGAAAAATAAAATATTTCTCATAATCAGAAACTAAAGGGGTTCGTTACCCACTAGCACAGCCTCAAGAAATATTGAGGGAATTCCTTTATTGGAAATGAAAGCCTCAATGGTAAAACATCTTTCTCAAACACAAACCCCAAGAAGTCCCTGAATGCATCCCCAGAGAGAGAGAAAGAGAGAGAGAGAGAATTCATTAGAACATCAAAGCAAAAGCAAAGATAATCCTTAGCATAATAGAAAACAATCAAATATCTCCCCGCCCTCCCCTACTTCCCCACAATGAGAAATGGAAAGGAATAATAAACACACAAAATAAGCAAAAAAAGAATTAATGAAATAACAGAAGGAAGTTCATACCTATTGATAATAACCTTAAAAGTGAATGAAAGATTAAATTCACCAATCAAAAGACATAGATGTGTATATATTTAAAAACAAAAGACACAACTTTATGTTGCCTACAAGAAACTCACTTTACTAGTCAAGATATATTTGACTTAGAATGAAGTGATGAAAAATGTGTATCACACAAATGGAAATCAAGAGCATATGTGTGTGTGTATAAGATTTTAAATAAAAATCAATAAAATGAGATAAAATTACATACTAATGTAAGGGTTGTCAATAAGAAGATATAACAATCATAAATATAGGTGTACCCCACACAGGATCACCCAATTATATAAAGCAAATATTGCATCTAAAGGGAAAGATAGGCTCATGCAGTAATGTTAGAAGCTTTAACACCCATTTTTTTTTCAGTACACACACATACTCAAAATATGGGTCAATATAGAGCGAAGGACCGTAACAGGCATTTAAGGAATGTTTCATTTGATAGTTCTTGCTCTTGTCTGCCCTCCGTTGCTGAGAAAAACACTGTAAACAGAAGCAGCTTGTGGGAGGAAAGGGTTTATCTGGCCTGTGGTTTACACTCCATCATCAAGGGAAGTCAAGGTGCTCAGGGAGGTAGGTAGGTACTTCAGAACCTGGAGGCAGGAACTGAAGCAAAACCCATAGAGGAATGCTGCTCACTGGCTTCCTACTGCCTCATGTTCAACTACCTTTCTTATACAAGCCAAGCCTACCTGCCCAGGGCTGGCACTACCCACAGTGGGCTGAGCCATCCTACATCAATTAGCAATCAAAAAGATGCTCCACAGGTACGCCCATGGGCAACCTTATGGGGGAAGTCCTCGATGGAGATTTCTTTTTCCAAGGTATGTCTAGGTTTGTGACAAGTTGACAAAACCCAACCAGCACAGTATGAGAATACACATTCTTTTCTGATCAGTACGGAACCAGGGTAAATCACAGAAAAGGCTGAAGTAAATTTAAGAAGCTTAACTCTCAAACCACAATAGAATGAAAGTACAAGTCAGTAAGAGGGCTGGAAAATGTGCCAATACGTGGAAATCGAATCACATGGTCCTAAATGACAAATGGATGATTTAAAAGAAGAAGTCAAATATTTATGGAAAATGAAAACACAGGACAGCAGAAGGAGTTCTGAAAGTGAGTGTATGGGAATAAATATATAAACGTAAAGCACAGATCTCAAACAACCCAACAATGTACCTTAAGAACAGAGAGGGGTGGGGGAACCCTTTCCGTCAAGAATACTACAGTCTGAAAAATTCCCCTTTA